TGTGGTACCTGAGATCAGCGAAGTAGTCGATTTCTCCGCCACCGTAGACCACCCTCTTGAAGTCCGCCCGAGCTAGGTAATTGAGTGGGTTCAGGTCAGGGGACATACTTCAATATTACATCTTCCTCAGATGCGAAACGCCCTTCCATTCGAAGTAAGCGGGAGTTTTTCCAAAACCCTTTGATTCCATGTGGTGGCACCCAAACCTGTAGCAGCACAAGGTCTCCAAGAAGGTACGGGCGACCACATGTAGGGAGGATATTCTTCTCGAGTTACTTGATGTAACCGCCAGCGCTCACCTTCAGTCGGGGTCTACAAAGAAAATATCGGTCTTCCCCTTTCCAGGTAACCCGGTCCATACCATCAACTCGCGCCTCGGCGAAGCGTGAAGCACTGATGTCCATAACCGTACCCCGCGAGAGTGAGGAGCTTGGCTCGAGGTGGGAGGTCTTTGCAGATCAAGAAGTACTGGACTTCAACCCCCGTACCTATCTTGTGGATGACTGTCCACACAAAACGTTTGCGCAGTGTTTGGAGACGACTGAATTCAAAGGGTGTTCTCCAGTCAGCCGCGACTGGAGATGACTTCATATTTTGGCGTACATGAAGGCGAATTGGCGGCAGCCTGCTCCAGCTTATAGAGGAAGATCTTGGGTGTCGTTCACTCTCGCGTACTATACCATTCCCCTGGCTGGCTTAGCCGAAAAACTTACGTGATACTGTTGACTGTCAAAAGTGACTCTCTTTTTTTTTTGGCCACCCCTGTATTCTATGGCCTAACCTTCCTCTTGCGTTGTTCTTTATTCTTTTATTCATTTATTTAACTGCGCCAAAAGGCACGCTACAGCACATATGTTAGAACAAAAAAATTCCAAAGTTACCGAAGAAAAGAAAAAAAAACATCACTGAAATAGGCCGAACGTACTTTAGCAAACGAAACACTACCTTACAATCAAGCATTCGGTTCTGAATAAACATCAGGTTCTTCCAACGATTGGAACTCTAAAGATTGTGGAGATAGTCGTGTATCATTCCTGTCTGATTTACCAGATTTTATTTCTTGTATTTAAGATTCTCCAAAACGTGCCGGCCATAGTGAACTTCCTAAATGAATGGGCCATGCCTAGGGTTTGCCTTTCAATACAAACACATCTTTTCCTGGTTTTTCCAAGCAATCTGGGAAGCATTTCCGTGCGAGTCACATCACAGAGCTCTACTTTTATTTGTTGATCGCCTTTTTCTTCCTAAAGATATTACTCAGTCGGATTAAAAGCGCGGTGCTTTTCTCCATCAGCTGATAGGCGTCCTTGTACAAATAGTTTGGCCCTCAATCCCTAGTACCGTTACATTTTCGCAGCCACACAAGAAGTTACGAATTATCTGCAATATGCAATCCTTGGTTTATCTTTGAATGTGATACACTTTGGGGCAGCAATCACAATAATCACAAATCGCAGTTCATCCCGATTATTTGTGCCTGGTAGAGGCTATTTTATTATATTTCTAGTGCAATTGGAATTTAACTTCTTACTATGTTTTCTACTTACCAGGGAAGTCCGCCAATTTACCATGGAACTTTGAATGGAGACCTAGATCGATAGAGTCTATAAGGTTATTTACAAATAGCAAAACTGCAACCTGCATTTCACAAGCAACTTATGAGCAGGTAAAGTTTGTAATGGTGCAGTAGGGTGGAGGCTTGGTGGTGAGCTGTGAAGCATAAGCGAGGAATCGCATACGTCGAATCGAGTCGTCGAACGTCGAACCTTACCACTGAACCACCACGACTCGATTCGACGTATGCGATTCCTCGCTTATGCTTCACAGCTCACCACCAAGCCTCCACCCTACTGCACCATTACAAACTTTACCTGCTCATAAGTTGCTTGTGAAATGCAGGTTGCAGTTTTGCTATTTATAAATAACCTTATAGACTCTATCGACCTACCCAGGCCTGCAT